CACACACGCACACACAAGCGCGCGCGCGCACACACACACACACACATCCTATATTGACCAATGAAAAAAGTTAAATGTTTGAATGCAAAATAATTATTCAAGATGTATATGAAAAAAAAAATATTCCAGGTTTAAAATATCACCCAAGTTTTTCACTACAAACGCAGAGAGAGAGAGAGAGAGAGAGAGAGAGAGAAGAGAGATAGAGAGAGAGAGAGAGGAAGAAGTATGCATGAGGAAGAAGGAATATAGAGGCAGGAAGATGAGGAGACAGGAAGATGAGGAGACAGGAAGAGAGAGAGGAGGCAGGAAGATGAGGAGGAAGGAGGATGAGGAGGAAGGAGGATGAGGAGACAGGAAGATGAGGAGGAAGGAGGATGAGGAGGAAGGAGGATGAGGAGACAGGAAGATGAGGAGGCAGGAAGATGAGAGACAGGAAGAGAGAGGAGGCAGGAAGATGAGGAGACAAAGATAAGGAGGAAGGTGAGGAGACAGGAAGATGAGGAGACAGGAAGATGAGGAGGCAGGAAGATGAGGAGACAGGAATATGAGGAGGCAGGAAGATGAGGAGGCAGGAAGATGAGGAGACAGGAAGATGAGGAGGCAGGAAGATGAGGAGACAGGAGGAGGAGGCAGGAAGATGCAGGAGAGGCAGGAAGATGGAAGATGAGGAGACAGGAAGATGAGGAGAAGATGAGGAGACAGGAAGATGAGGAGGCAGGAAGATGAGGAGACAGGAAGATGAGGAGACAGGAAGATGGAGGAGCAGGAACATGAGGAGGAAGGAGGGATGAGGAGACAGGAAGATGAGAGGCAGGAAGATGAGGAGGCAGGAACATGAGGAGGCAGGAAGATGAGGAGACAGGAAGATGGAGACAGGGTGATGAGGAGGCAGGAAGGTGAGGAGACAGAAAGATGACGAGGAAGAGGATGAGGAGACAGGAAAATGAGGAGGCAGGAAGAGGAGGCAGGAAGATGAGGGAGACATGAGGAGACAGGAAGATGAGGAGACAGGAGAGAGGAGACAGGGAGGAGGAGGAAGATGAGGAGACGATGAGGAGGCAGGAAGATGAGGAGACAGGAAGATGAGGGGAGGCAGATGAGGAGGCAGGAAGATGAGGAGACAGGAAGATGAGGAGGCAGGAAGATGAGGAGACAGGAAGATGAAGAGACAGGAAAATGAGGAGACAGGAAGATGAGGAGGCAGGAAGATGAGGAGCAGGAAGATGAGGAGGCAGGAACATGAGGAGACAGGAAGATGAGGAGGCAGGAAGATGAGGAGACAGGAAGATGAGGAGGCAGGAAGATGAGGAGCAGGAAGATGAGGAGACAGGAAGATGAGGAGGCAGGAAGATGAGGAGACAGGAAGATGAAGAGACAGGAAGATGAGGAGGCAGGAAGATGAGGAGGCAGGAACATGAGGAGGCAGGAAACAGAGGAGGAACATGAGGAGACAGGAAGATGAGGAGGCAGGAAGATGAGGAGACAGGAAGATGAGGAGGCAGGAAGATGAGGAGGCAGGAACATGAGGAGGCAGGAACATGTGTGTGGGGAAGCAGGAGGACCAAACGAACTTACTACAACTTGGGTCGGGGCTAAACGCTGGCGGCCCACCCACAAAATCAATAACACAAGACAAGCTGATAACTTTGTCCTCGCTCCCTCAGGCCTTCCACCCACCCCCACCCACCCACACCCTCACCCTTCCCTAGTGTGTCCTTCACTCCTACGCCACCAACACCACAATTATACAACAACAAACACGAAAATCCGCCACTAACACCACAATAAACAACAATAAACACGAAAATATGCCAAAAACACTACTATATACAATACGAAAATACGCCACTAACCACAATAAACACGATATACGCCACTAACACCACAGTAACACAAAATACGCCACTAACACCACAATAAACAACAACAAACACGAAAAGACGCCATTAACACCACAATACAATACAAGACGCCACAACAGTTGGACCACGATACGACGAATCTCATTGGGAGGTAACAAGGACAATGACCCACAACTCACAAGACGGGGCCCATGACTCAAAAGACGGGGCCCATGACCCACAAGACAGGGGCCCATGACTCACAACTCACAAGACGGGGGCCCATGACTCACAACTCACAAGATGGGGGCCCAGGACTCACAACTCACAAGACGGGAACCATATGACTCACTAGACGGGACCCATCACACACCCCGTCAGGCAGAGGGACAAGAAAAGAACACGAGCATTATACCACAGAAGGCGCTGAAGAGCATAATACCTTGAGAAGAGTTTTAAGGATGATAATTAAGCTCTCCGACATCACTCGAGATTTCCCAACGTATTTAAGGAGAAATGTAATAAGGTCGGTGGTGGTGAGTGGTGGTGAAGAGTGGTGATGAGTGGTGGTGATGAGTGGTGGTGATGAGTGGTGGTGGTGGTGAGTGGTAGTGATGAGTGGTGGTGGTGAGTGATGGTGGTGGTGAGTGGTGGTGGTGGTGAGTGGTGGTGAAGAGGACAGGGAGGAGGGTGTGGTGGTGGTAGTAGTGAGGAGTGGTGAGGGTGGTGAAGAGTGATGGTGATGAGGGTGTGGTGAGGGTGGTGAGGAGTGGTGGTGGTGGGGAGGTGGTGGTGGTGATGAGGGTGGTGGTGGCGGGCAGAGTGGTGAGTGGTGGTGGTGACGGTGGTAATGGGCAGTAGGATGATGGAGGTGGTGGTGGCAGAAAGCTAGGTGTCATAATAGCCAAGTATGATTCACAACGTGGCGGTGTTACATCTACATGACCTCTGTTGTGTAGTAGTAGTAGTAGTAGTAGTAGTAGTAGTAGTAGTAGTAGGTGGTGGGAGTGGTGGTGGTGGTGGTGTGTGAGTGGTGGTGATGAGTGGTGGTGGTGGTGGTGAGTGGTGGTGGTGGTGGTGATGAGTGGTGGTGGTGATGGTGGTAATGGGCAGTAGGATGATGAGGTGGTGGTATGAAGCCAGTTGTCATAATCGCAAGTAAGTATTCACAACGTATGCTATATCTACATGACCCTGTTGTGTAGTAGTAGTAGTAGCAGCAAAAAAAAAAAAGAATGCAACAGGGAAGTGGATACAACAGTGAAGTAAATAAGATTCGTAGGTCCATTACGACAGATCGACAGCACTGCCAAAATGATAAGCGCAGCAACTATTGCTGCAGGTACCTGTAGTGGCACCGGAAAAAAGTAGCTATAGCGCAGGAGGTGGGCGCTCTCGAACTGGTTAACCACGTTACCGATAAGTGCGCGTTTCAGTCTTAATAAACAAGAATTTACAGATGCCATTGTTTCAAGGCACGGTCGGGCCAGTAGAAGGTCGGTTCCCACGCGTGTGTGGCTCTTCCTATGATGCAGGATCACGCCATGGTGTGCAAGAAGGGGCTTCATGCATGAGGCAAGGACGAGGTAAGGGTTCTCTGGCAGCAAATATGTTGGGCGAATCTGCCGGGATGTCATGGTAGAACCGACCCTCCTTCCATTGGACGGTGAGATTTCCAACACATTTAAACGGTTCGTAGGGATGCCAAAAGCCGAGGATTCTGGACGCGGGACAACGCAGCTTTCTCGACATCAGATTTTTTTATCCCATGGCCGCATGTCACCAGAATTCCAGCGCTCGACAAGCGCCATAGGAGCAGGAACGAGAATTCACAAGAGAAGGGCATATGGGGAGAGAATTAAACGTTGATCGGGTTGCAGCCTACCCTCTAGTGTTCACAACCCTGGTGGATGGGGACCAAGTGCAAGATGTTTCTACGCCAGACTCGCGGAGTTGATCTCCGGAACAGCAGCTGGCAGCCCAGAAGTTATGTTACAGCCTGGATGAGATATCGATTGTCTCCCGTCGGCTTTGCTCTGCCTCAGGGAACGAGAGCCGGCCCAACTCCGACAACTGCTGCAGATAATAATTATGAGGCTACTATTCACTGAATGCCGCATAGATCTGCGGCTCAACTAATTTAACACTAGATAGGTTAGCTACTTATGTATTAGGATATTTAATATTAAGGTAACAAGCTGTGCTAGAAGGCGTGGCTATTGGGGAGGCTGGAGGAGTATGTATGTAAGGTATGTATGTATGTATGTATGTATGTATGTATGTTTGTATGTATGGTTTTTAACAACCTAACAGAGCAACACCCACAAGTACAACACACAGACAGAAGCTGGCAAAAAGATAAATAACACTGATGATGACTTCCATAACATAACACAAATAGCCAGCTGCGTTTGTCATCTTAACACACACAGATCCTCACCTGTTGGCTGGTGGCAGTTCCTTGGTCGGCAGTGGTAAGGATCACCTGAAGATTAAACCTCCTGCTTATTTCACCTGATGATTAACCCCCTTGAAGTTACCTGGGGGTTAGGTTAGGTTAAGTCAGGTTAGCGTAAGGGCGATTAGTCTTTAGGTGAAATAAGCATAGGGGGGAAGCAAATCTTCAGGTGACCTAATTGTAGTGCTGGTCGGGGTGTATGCATGTCCGACATACATATACAGGGCCATTTATACATATACAGGGCCATACATATATATACAGGGCCATATATACCTATACAGTGCCATATATACCTATACAATCAACTTACCTTTATACTTAATTTAAACATCAATAATCAGTATATCCATGCAACACATACACAAGAGAAACATTAATAAGGTATAACGTTTAGATAACTAAGAGGGTGTTGTGGTGGTGTTGTTGGTTGTGTGTGTGTGTTGTTGTAGGTGTGTTACAGGGGCGGGAATGGTGTTAGGGGTGGTGGTTGGGGGGGGGTGTTAGGTGGTGTTAGGGGTGGTGTTAGGGGGTGGTGTTAGGGGTGTGTGGGGTGTTAGGGGTGGTGGTGTTAGGGTGGTGGTGTTAGGGGTGGTGTTAGGGGTGTTAGGGGATGGTGTAGTAGAGGGGGTGGTGTTAGAGGGGGGTGGTGTTAGAGGGGGGTGGTGTTAGGGGGCGGGATTGTGGTTTCTACTCACCTAGGCGACGAGAGTAGTCATGTTGATGGTTAGGTCGAAGTTGGTGCTGGTTCGTTGCAGCGAGTCGTTCGTTGTATGAGTTAGGCGACATCCATCTTGAGCTGGTCACCTTTGATGTACTCGGCTCACTTCAGAGTGATGTACTCGGCTCACTTCAGTGTGATGTACTCGGCTCACTTCAGTGTGATGTACTCGGCTCACTTCAGTGTGATGTACTCGGCTCACTTCAGTGTGATGTACTAGGCTCACTTCAAGGTGATGTATTTGGCTCACTTCAAGGTGATGTACTGAGCTCACTTCAATGTTAACTTCAGTTTTAACATGAAATTACCTCAGGTGAGTTTTGACTTTAGTTCAAGTAATATTTACTTCATATCAGTGGTATAACTTCAGTTTAAACAGGAAATTATATTAGTGTCAATGTTAATGATCAGCGAAACATGTAATTAAATCAAAATTAATTTTAGTTCAGTAAGAAATTAAATTAATGTTAACTTCAGTTCAACAGGAAATTAAACTTTTTTTTAATTTCAATTTAACAGTAATTTATCTCAATGTTAACGATGGAATTAGCTCAAGAAGAATGTTAAGTTCAGTTTAACATATATTTTATCCTTATGTTTGTGTATGATAGTTAAGTAAAATTTCACAAGGTATCAAGGTCAATGTTTTTTTCAAAATCTTCAACAAAATCCTCTTCATAAAGTTTATATTCTCTCAATAACAATAAAATCTCTCACAATAAATATATCTTCATCTTCTTTTAACAATTTCAACTAAAAACAATATTTTTTCTCTCAATTAGCTCCAAAGTCAAACTAAAATATGTTTACAGAAAATATAGTTTAGTTTCACACGAGTCCTCAGTCCGTTTTCTATACCATATTATCTGGTCTGTGGCTCAGGGTCGAGTCACACCCTGGTAAAGTCTCCATTAGACTGGTGGAAGGAGAAGAAATTGGAATAAATTACGAGATGAGAATAAATTGACCAAACACAGACGGATGAGGGTGGTGTGGTGAGTGGGGTGAGGGGTGAGGGGGGGTAGTGAACGAGAGGGGGGGGTAGTGAACGAGGGGGGGGCGTGGTGGTTGTGGTTGTCAGCGGCAGTTTTGACTTCAATAACATAATGAATCATAGATCTAATTTCATTATCTTTCACTTTTCTTTATTATCTCATTTTATATCTACCTTTCAGTTTTTTTATCAATCTCACTGTCTTCATCTTCTTTCCTCTTCATTTTCTTCTTCCATTCTCTTTCCTTCCTTTCTGGTCTTGTGGCATTTTCTTCAATACTTCTTCTTCTTTATATAATTTCATCTTTATCTTTATTATCTTATGCTATGTTTCCTTCATTTCTTTTCTTTATCTATTTTACCTATCCCTCCCTTCGTTCTCTTAATTCCCTCCTCCCATTATTACTTTCCCCCCGATTTCTGTCTCAATCTATTCTCTTCTTCCTCCTCCTCTATTCTCTTCTTCCTCCTCCTCCTCCTTTCCCTTATATAATTTTCCTACCTTCTCCTCTTCTCTCCTTCGCTTCCCTATTCTCTCTTTCCTTCTCCCCTCCCTTAGTTATCACCCACTTCTGTATTTCCTCTTTTCTCCTCCTCTCCCCTACTTTTCTTCCTTTTTTTTCTTCCTCCCTCTACTTCACCCTTTTCCTCCCTGGCACTTCGCTTGAGCGGTTCATTGACGTGGTATAAATGTTTCAGAATGTGAGGTGCTGACGGCAATGCGACAGAGGGAGTGGTGGTGGTGGTACAGGTAGTGGTGGTAGTTGTGGTAAAGATAGTTAAAGTATTCGTGGTACTGGTAGTGGTTGTAGTCGTAGTAGTGGTTGTAGTAGTGGTGGTGGTTGTAGTAGTAGTAGTGGTTGTAGTAGTGGTGGTGGTAGTAGTGATTGTGGTAAAGATGGTTAAGGTATTCGTGGTATTGGTAGTGGTGGTTGTGGTAGTGGTGGTAGTATTACGGATAACAACACGACGGACACCAACACACCACAACCACATTTTCGCGAACGTATAAGAAAAAACGTGGGCGAGCGGTGGCCCAGTCTCCCACGGGTGACTAACGTAAATGGACAGCTGGGCGAGGTTGCCGCACCACAAGGAAGACCGGGAGACAAGGAGTGGAAGAGGAGAAGGAAGAGAAAGAAGAGGAGGAAGAGAAAGAAGAAGAGGAGGGGAAGAAGAGGAAGAGGAAGAAGAGGAGGAGGAAGAGGAAGAAGAGGAGGGGGAAGAGGAGAAGGAAGAGGAAGAAGAGGAGGGAAGAAGAGGGAGGAAGGAGGAAGAAGTGGGGAAAAAGCAGGAGGAGGGAAGAAAAGGAGTAGTATTAAGGGGAAGAGTAGCTCTCTCTCTCTCTCTCTCAATGCGACATATTTGCAAGTCCGATAGGAACTATGACATGGGAATTCTGACGTTGGGCGGCTTACCATACTGCTGGTGCTGGGTCATTACTACCGAGAGAGTATCTACTAAGGCCCAGGTGTAAACAGCAGGTCTTCTTAAGTCAAGGCATCGATCACTGGCCGGCCACCACTCTTGACCAACCCTCACTCACGCTATAATAATCATGGGTTAGATTAGGTTGTTGGGTTAAGTATGGGTAAGTTTGGAAAGGTTAGGTTAGGGTAGGCTAGATTAGGGTTAGGTTTTCTTTTACAGGTTAAGATCTATTCTTAACCTAACTATATCTAACCCAACTCAACCAAACCTAATTTAACATAATTTAACTGAACTTTAACATAATTTAACTGAACTTTAACCTAATTTAACTGAACTTAACCTAGCTTAACCTAACCTAACCAAACCAAATACGAAGTAAAATCGATAAAAACATCCACTTGACCAGACTAATCTAACTATCCCACTCGTATCACCGACAAAACAAAGATGGCGTAAAAAATGTACTAAGACTCTTTCACCCGGATAAAGGTCCTTGCCCCCCCCCCACAAAAAAATCTTTCTACCTCCCCCTCGCCCGCATATCCCCCCCCCCCACCCACAGGGCGCCCCCGTGGACACACCAACACACTCTTGATGAAGCCATTACTTATTGTGGCTGATTGACTCTCCCTCCCCTCCCTCTTCCTCTCCCCTCCTCTCTCTGTCTCACCCCACCTTCCTCTCTCTCTCTCTCTCTCAGCTTAAGAGTTAGTAGAGTACATCTGCTCTTTCTATCATCTCGTTTTCTCGTCTCCCTGCTTTCACGTGTGTGTGTGTGTGTGTGTGTGACGCAACAAGTAGTCCCTCACCCTGGGTTCGTCTCATTATACTAATACCCTCCAATCAGCTGCGAGAGTTGGCAACACCACACATCCCGACCAATCAGTGATGAGATCAAGTAAATGCTAACCAATCAGCACCGAGAACACTTTTACACAGACCAATGAGCATCCGAGTCGCGGAGGTCGACTTTTACCTGCCAATGTGTGTTGCATTAAAGAAAGAAGAGTGCACTGATTGGCTGATACCGACCAATACGAGGTGAGGGATGGGTAATATCAACCAATAGGAAGTGAAGGAGAAAATGATAGCAACCAATGAGTATTGTGAATCGGTAAATAAGAAACAATGAAGAGTAAAAGCTGGATAATATCGACCAATGAGCAGTGAGGACTTGGTAATATGCACCAATGAAATGCGAAGGTTTAGTGACATAAACGAATGAGCAGTGAGGTCTTGATATTATGCACCAATGAGCAAAAAGAGCATGAAATATGCACTAATGAGCATTGAAGGCTTAGTAATGTGCCTTATTATTCATGTTAACCTTGACATTAATGGTTGTTTAAGGTTAGCTTAGGTCAGACTAGGTAAAGTCAGGTTATGTCGGGTCTGGTGAAGTCAGGTTAGGTTGTTTACGTATCTCGATAAGGTAGTTAAGGTAGAATCTAACTGCAATTTTTAAGCTTTTTTTAATCTAATATTTATTCATTTTTACACCTCAAGTTAATGAATATTTTATCGTACGAACCTTGGTGAATACTGACCCTATACACCATGTTCTTCAGGAGGTGAGTGCGTGAGTGTTCTTGAGAAGGTGAGTGCGTGAGTGTTCTTGAGAAGGTGAGTGCGTGAGTGTTCTTGAGAGGTGAGTGCGTGAGTGTTCTTGAGAAGGTGAGTGCGTGAGTGTTCTTGAGGCGTGGTGTTCTTGAAAGTGAGTGCGTGGTGTTCTTGAAGGTGAGTGCGTGAGTGTTCTTGAGAAGGTGAGTGCGTGAGTGTTCTTGAGAAGGTGAGTGCGTGAGTGTTCTTGAAGGTGAGTGCGTGAGTGTTCTTGAGAAGGTGAGTGCGTGAGTGTTCTTGAGAAGGTGAGTGCGTGAGTGTTCTTGAGAAGGTGAGTGCGTGAGTGTTCTTTATTATTATTTTGTGTGTGTGAATTTATAACAAGTTTGACGTGTTCAATATTATAATTCCCTCCTTTACACAGAACATGTTAAGGGCTCTGGTCCCCTTATTCCATTTAACATTGTATCGATTATAAAGAAAAGAATGATATAATTTTCCCCGTACAGTTTGTGTAGGTTAGGTGTGGGAAGGGGTGAGGAACTGAGGGTGTGAAAGGGAAGGTGACGTGAGAGGAGTCGGGTGAGAGGGAAAGCACAGGAAAGGGGTGTGAGAGACAAGAGGGAATGTGAGGTGAAAGGAGTGGGGTGAGAGGAAAGCACAGGAAAGGGTGTGAGAGACAAGAAGGAATGTGAGGTGAAAGGAGGGGTGAGAGGGAAGCTCAGGAAAGGGTGTGAGACAAGAGGAATGTGAGGTGAAAGGAGGGGGTGAGAGGAAAGCACAGGAAAGGGTGTGAGAGACAAGAGGAATGTGAGGTGAAAGGAGTGGGGTGAGAGGGAAAGCACAGGAAAGGGGTGTGAGAGACAAGAGGGAATGTGAGGTGAAAGGAGTGGGGTGAGAGGAAAAGCACAAGAGGAGAGGGGTGCCCGAGTGTCTCAAGTCATCATATATTAACGCTAAGTACAAGGTCACACTGGCTAATAAACGTAATGAAAGAGACAGCAGCAAGGTGAAGCCAGAATGAAGCATATGGCATAAATCACCTTAAACAACACGGATCATTTGGCGATTCTCTCTCAAAATTGACGAAAATAAACCATTTGGCGAACTTTTGGGGGCGATTTTTATTGTGAATCGAAATTTACAGTCACGGTACTCATAGTGGATAACCGTGGAAGGGAAATATCGGGTATCAGTGACAGGTCTAGTCGAGTCAATATATCAGGTTGACACGGAAAGTACAATGGATATCGAGTCGCGTTGTGGTGGACGATGGGAGGTGGGAGGGGGGGGGTTCTGGGGTGGGTGTATGCTGGGTGGGGTACTGGGGAAGAGGATGGGGGGTTTCTGGGGTGGGTGTGTGCTGGGGTGGGGTTACTGGGAGAGAGGATGCAGGGGGGGTCCTGGGAGGTGTTGGGAGGGAGTCTGGGTGGGTGATTGGGATGGGAGGTTTGGGTAGAGGTATTGGGGAAGTTTGATGGTGGGAAGGTGTTGGGTTAGAGGTCTGGTGGTGACTTGGAGGCTGCTGGGTGGAATTAGGGATTCTACTTGGGGCTGGATGGGGCTAGAGGATTAAATTGTGTTGGGGACTGGCCGTTAACTGTGGGCTTGATGGTGTTGGAGCTAAAGAAGCTGGTGGGTGCTAGGGATGCTGGGTAAGGTGGTGGGAGGTGCTAGGAGGGAGCTGGGTAGGGGGCTGTATGGTGGTGGGGGAGCTCGGCCATAGAGTATAACACAGCTCTACCACCTGTCTATTACAGTTGTTTTTTTGTTGTTGTTTCTCTACCACACAGTATAACACAGCTCTACCACAGTATAATACAGCTCTACCAAACGTATAACACAGCTCTACCACACAGTATAACACAGCTCTCTACACAGTTCTCAGTTCACACAGTATAACTCAGCTCTACCACACAGTATAACAGCCC